CCCCAGGACAGGGGGCGGCGGGTCCGGGCCGAAGCCCCGCGGGTGGGGTGGCGATGGCGGCGTGGGCCCCGTTATCGCCGACATTGTCCTTGGCGCGGGGCCGGCGACGACCTTGTTGGTGGGCAAGGAGGGAATTTGGCGGGAACTTTTTCAAACGGCGTGACGTCGCTCCGGCGGGCCCCCGAGGCATTGTGGGAGTTGTAGTTCCCCCGCCGGAAAAGGGGGCCCGCCATCGAGCCCTCAGGGGATGTGCGCCGCCTTCTCACCTACCTTCTCTTCTTCCCCCCCACCCCTTTTTTTGTTTCTTTTTTGTTTTTTTTTTAACAGGCTCCAGCGGAAGGGGAGGCGAAGGAGGAGGTAGGAGCTGCTGCTGCTTCTTCGGGGCCGCTGTGGATTTTGGTGGGGTTTGGCAGAAATTAGGAGGCCCTCCGGGGTTCGGGGGGTGCCCAGGCCCAGCCCCTCGGCCTGTTGCCTGAGGTGGGCGCTGGGAGTCCTGGCCACTGAGGCTGTCGCTTCCAAAGTGCCCCCTTTCAGCCTCCGTGACAGAGCCTTAATGGCACAGCTCCTGAAAGTAAAGAAACTTTATCGCTTGCCACCTCAGGGAGGGTAAAAGTGTGGCAGCGCAGAGTGAGAGCTGTTGAACAAAGCTGCAGTTTTGGGGAGATCATCGCCATCATCCCCTCTGCTGTGAGGACAGGCTGAGAGAGTTGGGGTTGTTCAGCCTGGAGAAGAGAAGGCTCTGGGGGAGACCTTAGAGCCCCTTCCAGTCTGCAGGGAAGCTGGGGAGGGACTCTTGGTTGGGGAGGGGAGCCATGGGATGAGGGGTAATGGTTTTAAACTGAAAGAGGAGAGATTTAGAGTAAATATTAGGAGGAAATACTTTCCTGTGTCGGTGATAAGACCCTGGCCCAGGTTGCCCAGAGAAGCTGTGGCTGCCCCATCCCTGGAGGGGTTCAAGGCCAGGCTGGATGGGGCTTGGAGCAACCTGCTCTGGTGGGAGGTGTCCCTGCCCAGGGCAGGGGGTTGGAACTCTATGGGCTTTAAAGTCTCTTCCACCCCAAACCATTGTATGTGAGCATAAATCTTAGAATTCATATGGGCCTTCATGATGTAGTGTATGTGCTGTGTTATTCTGGGCTGCAGTTCTGGGAAAGTACTGCTTTATATGCTGAGTTTTAGTGACACCGCTTTCTTTATGCAGCCAAAGAGAAGGTCAGCTAGACTATCCGCTGTAAGTATCTTTATTTACTCTTTTAATACTCCGTCACATGGGATGCTAAGTTCTGGGGGACAGTTATAGAGAAACTACTGGGGTTTTTTCCACCAGTGTTGTGGAAAGCATGCGATATTTAAAAGTAAAATTCCTATTCTATGTTTCCAGTCCCTGAGTATCAACACATTACAGGTTTACTTTCAGACGTTTCAGATGAGATACAACATCCGTGTTAGTAATGTTCAGTCTGGACACACGAGTATCCAGAGTCAGGGAATATTGATTTCAAGATGCATTTGTTCTCTGTAGCTCTTCTCCATACAAAAATCTGCTCATAGCTCTATAAATTACCTGCTCTTTCCTTATACTTGTAATTTGCCCATTGATTTTGCAGGCCCAACTGTTGGGTAAACTGAGACCTAGAGGGTGTAAATCTCTGTCATGCAGTAGAGTTCAGCCCAAAGTCACAGCCTTAAACAGGCTCTTGGCATCCTTTTTTACAGACACTTAGTACACCTGGCCCTTTTTTTAAGCCAACTTGGAAATGCCAAGTGGATAACGGTTGCTATTTAAAAGAGAAGGAACTTCATTTTAGGGAAAGCTAAAATGTGCATACGTAGAGTTACGTCCAAGTGTTAATGCATTTCATTTTTGACACACACTTGCCTTCACAGCGGACAGTAACACCCAGGCACTATAGTGATCCACTCACTACTACCACTACCACCAGCATCTGTACCGTAATCACCATAACATGCATGAGGAATAATGAAAGTTAATGATTTGGATAATGAAAGATACTGATCTGTCTGTGACATTTACTCCTTTATACTACAGAATGAAGCAGTCAGCTCTAAACTATTTTTTGTTCGAATAGTTTTCAGAAGTTACCAACATATTGCTAAAACATTTATAACGTTTGTCTGACTCTGTTTTCTTATGTTTGTTTCATACAGAAACCTGCTCCGCCTAAACCGGAGCCAAAGCCCAAAAAGGCAGCACCTAAGGTAAGTGAGAGCTCTTGAACTGAAGTCACACTTTTCTTTCTCAAGGTGTTTATAGGGGGGCAAAAAACCACCCACAGCTAACCGTTTTGGTTTTTCAAATTTCCTTTAAAGATTTAAGATTGAATTATGTGAGTTAAAAAGAATGTGAAAGATGTGAAGATCATTTTATCCAATTCCTACTGAAGGAATGTGGTACACTGAGCAGATTTTAAATCAGTTGTGGTAAGGCTTTACTGCTTCCCTTGCAAGGCTCTTCTGAAGTTTCATATAATGCATTGTTGGGAAAACGATGCCTTGAATTGAGATCAGAGACCCAATTAGAGAAGGCATTGAAAATCATGCTTTTAATTACAGTTTCTTACTGTGTTTTCATTCAAAGGCACTCTTTCCAGTTAGTTATCAGTTTATCAGATTTTAATCACTGGAGATAAAGTTCTACATACCTGTTTCCTTAAGGTGGATATTTTGAGAGATATCAAAAATATTGGCATATCTGACAGTACAGTTAAAAAAGAAACCATTTAAAGCTTTTTGCTTTGGAGCAACAGTTTGAAGTTTAAAAAGGGGACAGCTCTGCAATCCATGAGGTATTTCTTTATACCCCCTTCCTGTCACAAACTTCCCCAACAGCCACAGTTTGCAGTGATTTTTTTAGATATATCTGTAAATACTCAGATTGTGGTAGGATTTTGCAGCTGGGAAAGAAAACCACCCAACAGCAAAACTTCAGCATTCTTTTTAACCTGTTCCCATCATACATTATGGTTTTTGGATGGTGATACAGGCAAAGCACAGGTGTGAGAGATGCTTAATTACAGAAGGGGATGGGTTCCTGGTTCCTAGCTGGGAACCAGGAACTCTTTTCTATCCATTTAAAAGGTTTTGCCAATTGCATGTGGCACAGGAGACTCCCAGGGGATGAAAACTATCCCGCCTCCAAGTCCTGCTGTGTGGAACAGCAGAGATAGCATGAAAAAATGGGCGAGGAGGAGAACCCTGGTTGTTTTTTTGGGGACCCAGCATCTCAGCTCTGTAATCACAGTGGTGTGCAGAGCAAGCTTTTCACATCTGCATCTTGGTTGTGCAGCAGGATTTCTAGATCCCATTCCAGAGCGGCAGGGGAACCTAGGGACCCTGCTGCTGGGCATTCCTGTGGTGCAAGTGGCTGGTGAGCTCTGGGTTGCATCTCCCTCTGGTGGCTGGTCCCCCAGGAAGAGGAGAACCTACCACTGGTGGGTTCACCACTGGTTGCTTTTCCAGCTCAAGTGGCAGAGAGTTGTCTTGGGGCTCTAAAAGTCCTGGGTTCAGCCTCTCTGATGGCTGGCACAGAAGTCAGTGCAGTTGCATACGATGCACGTTGTTGGTATTTTCTTTTTTTTTTTTGTTTGCTTTTTTATTTTTATGGAAACATCTCGGGGTTTATAGGCAAAAGCTGCATTAACAGGATCTTAAAAGTTGCGAAAACATGAATTCAGAGGTTGAGGACTGTGATTGTCAGAACTTAGTTTGGTCCCTCACTGCAGAAAGCGTCACCCTTTTGGGATGGTTTAGTTCCGCTGGGAGTGGTGCCTTGGTCATTGCCCCACACATTGCTCCCTGTTGGACTGGGAAATGCTGGTCCTCTTGCTTCTAAGGTGCTGGTTTGAAGCCAGGATACTTGAGTTGCATTTTTGGCCCTCTAGAACTCCTAATACTGGATCAATATTTATGCAAAGGGGTATGTTCCAAGAATTGTGCATGCATCTTTAGTTGTTGTTTCCCCCAAATGTTTAACTTTGCAGCCATCAGGTTCTTTAAATATTTTTTTGGTGTGTCAGAATAGACTTCACCTTTTAAACTTACCTTTATTGAAAAGCACAGAGCTGGGAAAAAAGCAAAATGCTTTATAAAACACATACCTTTATTGCAGATTTGGTGTTGCCATCTGTATAGAAAAATTATTCAGGAAAATGAATACGATGGTGTTAGCTCAGAACTACTTGAGAGGATGGAAGAAGGTTGGAAGTTGAAAAATAACATTATCTCCTTGGGTATTTTTTTCCTGGACTCAGTGGTGGAAGGAGGCTCGATCCCTTATGGAGTAGCTGTTTGCTTGTCCCCAGGAGCCACGGGTCTTGCAGAACAGAGCAAAGATCCTGGGTTCCTCGGGCAGCTGGACGCTGCGAGACGCTTTCTCTCTGGTCTGAGTCCAGCCATGGAAGCCAGTTTCTATGGATTCTCCTCAAATCCTTTCTTAAGAGGAGCTTTACCAGCAGAGAGTGGGTACACAGAATTAGTTTTAGCTCTGTTAATTCTTCTGGGGTTTTGGTTTGTTTGTTTGGTTTTTTTTATGGGCTAAGGGAAAAGATACCCTTCTTCAAACAACCCCAAGTCTTGAAAAATCCTTTATGCCTTACATTGGAAGAGCAAGTGTTTAACGTGCCTGTGCTTGGGAGTTTGGAGCATACTGGTGCTGCTGGAGGAACACTTCATAGTGGACTAATGTGTGCTTCAAAGCTCTGGTGAGGTCTGTTTAAGTGACAGAGAGCAAACCAGTGCCATAGTGGTATCACAGTCCTAAATCTCACTGCCAAACTCTTCAAAGTTGGAGGACCATCCAGCCAACAGAGGGGAAAAGAGTGAGTGGAGGCAAAAAACTCTTTCATCCTCCAGTGACTCTCTTCCTTCTCTTGCAAAGAGCCACCACGTATCTTGGATAAGGGAGTCCCCAGAGAGGATGAGAGGCTCGTTGAGAGTGGGCACAGCCCAGGAGAAGGGGACTCCTAACACCAAGAGTTTCCCAAGAGGGCTGAAATCCCTCAGCAAGGTCAGGCTGAGGAGTGGGAGGTTGGAGAGGAAAGAGGCCTTCACCCATTTGAGTGCTACCAACCTCCTGTCTTAATTTTTCTGCGTTATTATGGGATTTGGTGGTAATGTTGGTGAATTTTTAATCATCTGTATCATTTAAGAATCAGGTGACTTTGCCCCTTGTACTCTGAGTTTACCCTCAGCGAGCAGCTCATTTTTAATGTGAATTAATTTTGCGTGCTAATAAGCAACGTGTTGAAATAAGAAGGTACCCTTTTGTAACTTCTAGTCACTGAGACAACTTCATCTTCTGAGGAGAAAGAGAGAGAGAGAGAGATGTATTCAGTAATTATCTGTTTATCTTCACTTACCTGTGAGTAGTGATTTTGCTGATATTTATGGTTCCTTTGCTGGAAGTAGGTTCATCAAGCGAGGAACTAAGCTACTTCCCTTAGTGCAGTTACTTATTGGCAGCAAGAGGCAGATCCTCAGCAGTGAAGCTAATGAGAGTCTTTTTTTCTGTATTGGGGTCAGGATCTGACCTTGCCATGGAGAAAACTATTACTACAGAAGTTGTGGCATCGAGTTTTGTTTTGATTTAGCCCGATCCATGTATAAGAAACTGTGCTTAAATAATAAATGCGAAGTTCTGGCTGTTATTAAAGTGATGCTGTTGAGCCCCCAACTTGTCTATCACACAAATGGTTTATTATAGTAAGGAATATTTCTGGCAGGGAGGGGGCAAAGTCCTTTGACTACAGCTTTGTTACAGTTTTCTAAATAGGCATTAATAGCACATCTGAAGTATTCTGGTATTTCCACTAGTTGTACATGTTCTTTTTGTTCTGTGGTATGCCTTTCAGCAGCACAGCAGAAATACAGGCCAGTTCAACTCCAACATTTTTTAGCTAATTTAATTGAATGCCTATTTAAAATCGGAATTCTTTTAACCCCAGCCATGGCTGCTTTTATATTATGCACTTCCCAGTGGCACATTCAGGACGGAATAGAAGGAAAGCACTTCTCCTTAGAAACTTTCACCTCCTCTTTGTCAATAGGAAGTTTGGTGTGTGTAGAACTGAGGGGTTTAGAGTTGAGAATGTGTGTGTGCAGATGGACAAGGTGGACATGAGTGTTCACCACCATATCACGGTTTGTTTTCTTAACAGAAAGAAAAGGCAGCAAATGATAAAAAGGAGGACAAAAAGGCAGCAACAAAAGGGAAGAAAGGAGCCAAAGGCAAAGATGAAACTAAACAAGAGGATGCTAAAGAAGAAAACCACTCTGAAAACGGAGATACCAAAACTAATGAGGTATTTTAGCTGCAGTAAACGTGGGAATAAACACAGAGGTATTGGTAATACGGCTGCAGGAACTAGCAATGGGGCCTCCTTGTCAGAAGGTGGTGAGTTTCCCTGCTGTCCTGCACAGGGCAGCTCCCAGGGAGAGCCTGAAAAGAGTAGCCTTCTCCTTCCAACCTTTTCCTGCTACGCGCTAGAGCCCTCCCACAGGTGGTCTGTGCTATCGTAGTGTCCCTCTCGGGGGTTGGCACAAGAGCAGGGCAGAATATTTGGGGAACAATAGAGCTCAGTGAGATTGTCATCCAGCCCTGAGCTGACTTTGCGTATCCTCTCTGGACTGCTGGATTGCCTCTTCTGCTCAGCACGGGTTGGTCCTGAGCCAGAAATCTGGTTTCAAGTTTTACACAATTCTTTAAAACAATTCTTGCCTCAGAACAATTCAATGAGATCCGCAAAATAAACTCGGTCTTGTCTCTTGATCTGCAAAGCCTCTTCCTTACAGGTTCTTACTGTCTCAGCTACTCTCCTAAGAGCTGCCATTTGCTAGGAGAGGAGCTACAAGCTTTGGTCAGCTCCTGGTGGCCTTTTTGTAGCAGATTTCTTGCTGATCCTAGAACCACAACGTTTGCTGTGGGCTCCCTTTGCCCCTGTAGGCACAGACCAGCCTGTTGCATTCTCTGTTGCTTTTGATTTACAGGGATCTCCGTGCATTTGTTGAGTATCATTAGCCAGTTAAGGGGTTGGTTGGTCTTTCATTTTTAAAACTAATTCAGGAGCTTCTCTGCTAAAAATTACTATGGGCCTAACGTAGTTCAAAGGATCTTTGATAGGAGCTTTGCAATTTTGATGTGTTGGCTTAAAAAGTAATAGCAGGCATTTTTATAGAAAATTTCCCCACAGTTTGGACAACAGACAAGTATCGCAGTTTTATGTGTTTTAAGTTTAAGTTTTAAGTCTAATTCTTGCACTTCCCTGCGCCTTACGGAGATGAGGACTTGAACTTTCCCTGGCATGTGATTGGTCCTAATCTAAAAGACTTTCTAAACTTCTGCCTCTTTAGAGGCACTTAACATTCCCAAATTAACTCGATTATCAATTACTCCTCGTCTGTGTTTTAGTTGTTAGAATTATCAGCCGACACGTTGTTGTGTTGATGTTTTCTGTAGTAGCAGAGCATTCTTGTCTTATCTGCGCAAAATGTTGTCCGTGTGTGTGCTAACAAACTGGTCTCTCTTTGATGCTTGTTAGAATGGAATCCCATTAGCATTACGAATAATATTTCTATTCTTCCCAAACACTTTTATAGGCACCAGCTGCTGAAGCATCTGATGATAAGGAAGCCAAGTCCGAGTAATGTTAACCCTGCCCTATATCTCCATCATTTGGTATCCGTACCTCCATGCTGTATTGTTAACAGAGAGGAATATTTTTATCAACTATTTTATAAATGCAGGTTTTTTTAGCATGAATTTAATTATGGAACATCTTCATCTCGGTTACTTGGGAATTAAATCCCTAACAAACAAAACAAAACGACAAAAAAAAATCATTGTTTTTAAATTTTGTGATTGTAATAGTTTGTATGGTACATGGAAAGAATAAGTGGTGGTAGCTTTTGACTTCTGTCAGTGTGTCCCTTTTTGTGTAAGTCATGCTTACAGACTTCAGATTTTAATTTTTCCCTTGTATGTGTTGTATGGTTTCTTAAAGTGGGGAGGTCTCAAAACAAATAACCGTGTTAAACATTCCAGTGGTTCTGTGGGTTGCTTTTATAAAGAAGGTGAGCTATTTTCATGAAAAACCTAAGAGCTGGAAATCTGTTGTTTCCCAAATGTAATTTTATTTTGTCAGTTTTGAAAAATAAATAAATAAAAAAAAAGTGTAATCATGTTTTTAAATGAAATAACAAACGTTTCTTTTAAAAGGGCAGGTTGGTTGTATGTACCCACTGTTAGGAATTTTGCTGGATTTATCTTAATAAAAAAGACTCCTCAAAAGCTGATTGTGGTTTGTTGCTTGTGCTGCTGGCAAGGTGTGGAGTTCCAGAGGAGTAGTGCAGGGCTTCAGGCTGAGAGACCCTCTGCAGTGAGAGAGCTTTGGGCCCACCTTGTCTTCAGTTGGGTAAATTAAAATGACTATGGGCCAGGCTCTCGGTGGCCCAAAAACGGGATTAGCTGGTTTCAGAGGAAAGGTACTGGTTTACCCCAGCTGGGACCTTCCACCAGTGCTTTCAGCTGAAGGGTGACCTTGTAAATGCTGGTACTTATCCAAGTGAAGGTGGGATACTTGGTGTTGGCCAACGCCTTAAGCATTGTAGGTGTCATTATAGATTCTGAAAGGTATTGTCTGGTTTTCTTTTATGTGCCTATTAATTATGATTTAGAGGTGGGTTATTTCCTCTTAGAAATACTGCAGCAGCCTTGAGGCTGCCACGTTTACATCAAACCCTTCATAGAATAAAATAGCTTTCTGTTGATGGAGGGATGTTTGTAGCCCTGGTTAAAGTGCGTAGTTCCATAACTATGGTTTATAGTTTTCTTCTTTAAGCGTGTTATTACTCACAGAATGTTTTCTTGGCCTCGCTGAGCTTCTCCTGGCATGATAACACGTGTGTGTCCAGCAGTGCTTCCCGTTAATGCATCTTCCTTATTCTGGGAAGTGCCAGCTCCACTACCCAGGGGTTGAATGGGGGTTCAGTATTGGTTTTACTGAGCCTTATTTTTGTTGCTATAGATATTCTATGCTCTTTTTTCAAGGACACTTCACATTTTCCTCTTAAAGCCTCCTTTTTAGATAAAGTCTCTTCACATTGATGACCAAATACATTATATATTTAATAGGAAGAAAAATGTCTGCAATGCAGAAACCTTATCTTTTGCATTAAACTGTTTTGCAGCCCAGAAATGTGAAATTCCAAGAGCTTGCATATTTTATCTCGTCTCCAAACTTGAACTCAGCATCTTAATGCGTAGTATCGTGTATTAAATGTGTGTTTCGGGATCAGTACCCCTGGGGCACTGGCTACTTGATGGTGTTTAATGTGGATTTAATTTTCAAGGCTTAAAGCACCAGGGATTTTGATTCCTGCTGCGCCACCTTTCATTCTGTAGAGCTGCTCTGTAAAAGCGTGAGGGTTACCTGAGCTCGAGCTTCCTCAACAGGAAAGATGAGAGAGCATTTAGGGACCTTCTCCTTTGGAATATATTCCCTTAATCCAACGCAGCCCAGATACAGTAATTTTTCAGGTGTCCTCTGTAGTCTCCTGCAGTGAAAACTGCTGGGGAACAGTAACTGGGAGCCCCTGCCTGGTGGAATTGGGGGGAGATGTGGGTCTTTGCCGTGCTGCTAGGATTTTTATTTTTTTTTTTAATGTTATTTCCTGGACATCTGATTCTTTCTGTGGGCTTTTGCCAGGAATGTGATAACACCAGTATCCCCGGGGCTACGTGGTGCATGCTGAGTTGACAGTTTTGCATCCTGGGATTGTTTTCTCTGGGATGCACGTGGCAGTGTCTGAAAAACTTCAGGTGACTTAAAAAAACGAGGGAGGTTCTGAATGTCCCAGTGGAAGAGGGGCTGCAACAATAGTTCAGATACCATCCTGACGCTTTTAGATGTAAATTATTTGCTGAATTTAGCCTGCTTTTGGATAAGAAAAGATGACTAACGAGCACAGCAGCATGCTTTGGACACATGGGATGATAATTTTGGGGGTCTTGACTGAATGCTGCTTGAAATCGATGAGAAATACCAACGGGCCTGTACAGCTTCAGGGAGAAAATGGGTATTGGACTGAAATATTTTATACTTGCATATTCCTCCCACCCCCAGTGGTTTCTCTAAAGGGGTTTCAAATAGCAAACCCTTTTCTGCAAGGAAGGTGAGCTCCTTCTCCAAATCTTGGTACCATTGAACCATTTCTCTTTGGCTTTAGCCTCTGGTCACTGAGAGTTTCAAGCATTGTTATTTAAATAACAGCAGAGACTATGAACATGGTTGGTATTTTCTTCTTAGCAGAGGGCTCATCCATATGCCAAGGTATAATCAGCCCGTCATATGCTAATTGAGGTCATTCTCCATGTCGAGTCATGTTTCTCCATTCTATTTACCGAGGTTGTTGTACAGAAACATACAATTGAGTGTTTGGTTTTGTTTATTTCTTCCTCTTCTGGTGCCAGGGCGAGAGTTGTTCTTAATTCTATAACTATTGTTATAATCAGATTCCTGTTTCAAATAAGTACAGAAAATTGCTTAAGAACTTTTCAGACAAACCTCCTTGCTCAAATTCATAACTTTTCTCAGCAATGGGGTATTGAGCAAGTTGCACAACTTGAACGGATTTCCTGCCTTCTGCCACGTCCTCCTCCTCAGCGCTTGGGCCCGAGGTCTGGATGCTGAATCAAAGGCGGGCTCCACCTTGGCTCCCAGGCTTTCCTTAGGTCATGGTTGTCCAAAAAGCAAAGGTTTCCAAGGCAGAAGACTTTTCATTGAGCAGTCAGTTGGGTTAGTTGGACCCAACTTCCAGGTTAGGTTGGAAGATGTAGTGCGGTTAGCAGGGCTCAGGAGGTGATTGTCCCCCTGTACTCGGCACTGATGAGGAGGCCCCACCTCAAGGGCTGTGTCCAGTTTTGGGCCCCCTACCACAAAATAGACACTGAAGTGCTGGAGTGGGTCCAGAGAAGGACAACAGAGCTGGTGGGGTCTGGAGAACAAGTCTTATGAGGAGAGGCTGAGGGAGTTGTGGATGTGCAGCCTGGAGAAAAGGAGGCTGAGGGGAGACCTTCTCAGTGGGGGTCGGTCTCTTCTCCCAAGGAACAGGCGATGGGACAAGAGGGAATGGCCTCAAGTTGCACCAGGGGAGGTTCAGATTGGAGAGTAGGAACACTTTTGACACGGAAAGGGTTATGAAGCCTTGGAATGGGCTGCCCAGGGAAGGGGTTGAGGCACCATCCCTGGAGGGATTCAAAAGATGGGTTGCCATAGAGCTTAGTGACAGGGTTTAGAGATGTTTTTTTATCAGAGTTAGGTTGATGGTTGGACTAGATGATCTTAAAGGTCCCTTCCAACCCAGATAATTCTATGATTCTTTGTGGAGACACCACCCAGCTCCTTGGCTGGCTGTTCAGCCGTGCTTGGGGAACAAGCAGCACATGTTTGCCTGTTCTGATGCTGGTGAGGAAAGACGCATCGAATCGCTCAACAGGCAAAATTGACGCTGGGAGTTTGATTCTCATTATCAATAATAAAAATTACGGACCCTAGAAGATGTGATGAGGTGGACAGATTCATGAGTCTATGGACAGTGATGGTTCTCAAGTTTTTAGCTGGGGGAAGAGATTTAAGGTGAAGTTGGCGACAACTTGCAATGGTGAGATGCCCGTGCGGCTCATCAGGTGTTGGGCAAGATCCATGTCCAACCTTTGACTTGGATTTTGCAGTGAAACTTGGTGAAAGAGGCGATATTGCTGGTCCTAGTGGTTTAGATTCATTGTTGTTTGAGCCAGTTTGACAAACTTCCTGTGCTGTGTAACCAGCAGACAGTGAGTGCTGCTGGTGCCGTTACCTGCCAAGCAGGAGCCCTAAAATCCTTCAATCTTTGTGTGTCGAGGTGAGCACCGTCTGGGAATGTCCTGCTGGGTGACCAGTGCCAGGCCTGGAAGGTGCTGTGCTGTGGAGAGGACAGCGGGTGAGGTGGGAATCAGTGTCTGGGGCCACGTTATCCTGTCCAGATTGAAACCCTGAGAGCAAACAGCTGTAGAATTGAGGTTTATATAGGGAGGTGACAGTCAACAGCGACCCAATTTTAGTGCAACACTGGAGGGACCATGCTAATACTTCATTCATTTTATTGCTAAGGGGCTTCATCCTAATGATTTTGTTTAGTAGCAATCGTTGGGCAAAGTGTTATTTTGCCATTTTGGCCAGGCTTGGTGCATTAATATAACTCATGGTAGAGCTTTTGGTGCAGGCTCCCAGTGTAGCGTGGGGCTGAGGTGACTTCTGGGTGACTTGCCTTTAAAATTCAAGAGAATGTCTTGAGACTTCCTATTCCTCGCAATAATGCATGTTCTTACAGATCTTCACCAGAACTTGGGCAAGTGTTTGCTTATTGCTTGGTCAGAACAATGAAAGGCTTCGAAAAACACTGGGAAAGTGAGGTTTGAAATGAGAGGAAGTTTTTCCTGGTGTCCATCCCCAGCAAGGCACTGGAGCAGCACTGGGGGAGGAACGGGAGAGAAAGCCCATGGCTGCCACCAGCAAGTAGAAGATGAAAACCACAGTGAGGTCCTTGGGATTAAAAAAAGAAAAAAGGGTAAATGATGGATTTAAAATGGGGGAAAGAAAAAAGCCTACCCCATCCAAAGCACGTACAAGGAAGGCTTTTGTAGGTGCATCCCACATCCAGCTCCGCTCCTTTGGATGAAGTGACTGCGCTCAAAAGCCAGAAAATCCGACGGGTCTGATTTTCAGATCAGGAGCAACTTCCCTGGTAGTTAATGGAGTTACACTGGTGTTAATCTGATGAAGCAGAAAGAAAATTGGATCCCCTGAATAGAAACGGATGGCTTCTTCTTTCTAATTGTCCCAGTGGTGATGTTCCTTCCCCATGCAGCTGGCGTGGGAGCCCCAGCTCTGAAAGCTGATGCCCTGGACGGGCTCCAGAGAGCCCAGGACACCCCTCGGGCCCCGCCGCCGCCTGGCTTTCGAGGAGCCTCTCTCATTTGGAGAGAACAATGTTAACGTGGCTTCTGGCCAGAGCCTCTCCTCGTGCCCGGAACGGAGGGGAGCTGGTCACAAGCGAGCGTGGAGGTGGGTGACACAAGTCATCGGTGTCACATTGGCCGCTCTTGAAAGAGTAGGATTAGGATTGGGTTTGGGGCAACTCAAGGAGGGGATGGGGAGGGGACCACCCTGCTGCTCCCACATCCTTCATCTGCCCAATTTGGCCACCTCTGCCAATGCTGCTGGAAGGGGACAGCGAGGGGCTGGTGGGAGAG